CCCACTAGATAGTGGCAAAACCATATTTTCTAAAGCCCACTTGAGGGTGGCAAAACTTGCATTTTAGCCTACTTGCGAGTAGCAAACCATTTTCAAAACAAACATGCAATGTTTTGTTCCAATTTAGGCGATTTGGTCTATACTTGTTTGCTGTGCGCATAATATAGTAATTCTAAGCTAATAATCGGAATAGGAACTCATAATGCTTTCAAAACAAGATATCACGGTTAGTAGAGGCCGATCTTTGATCGGGTGAGAGGGGGTGCTCATAGCTGACCTTCCGCAATCGTACCCAAGTTTCCGAGCCGAGGCAACTTCGGTGATGACGGATACGTGGCCTTTGGCACCGAGTCAGGGTTTCCTAAATTTCCCAAAATAAAATATTTAGGTGGCGACTCTGTATCTGGCAAAGCAGTCCATGTTTGGCACTTCTTTTCTAAAAATCTGTTTTTCTCATAACGATTTGCCAGATTTGGACTCTTTGGTTCAGATTAAGAACCGTGACAATTTGAGAGTCCGAACTGTAGCGAACCCAATATGAACAGAACGGGACTCGTCCTCCCGGGGCGTTCGGAGACGTCTACAGAAGCACTGATAGAAGATAAGTTCAGAGAGTATAATTGAGATGGATTGGTTATATACAACGAAGACCAACAGAGGCAATAGTGAAAAGAGGCGATCCAGTGATAGTAGATAGAAGCGTTAGGGAAAGGGGTAGACCTAGATTGACGTGGGCTAGTGTAGTAAATAGATATATGAACTTCCTTAATTTGAGTAACGAAATGGTCTTGGATAGAGTCGAGTGGAAAATAAGGATTCATATAGCCAACCCCATTTGAAGGGACTTAAGTCTTGGTTTGGTTTGGTTTGGTTTGGTTTGGTTTATTAGAGCAATTGGAAAATTTTCATGGGGTCCATCAAAAAAAAGGGTTGCCTACCGATGGCTTTGGAACACAATCAGAAATATGCATTAATTTTGATCATGAATTTCTTGAAACACCTTTTTTACCAAAGGATGTGGCAAAATCTGACAATAAAATTTAAAAGAAAAACAAATATAGTGATTTTAATGAACAACTCCTTGAAATGCTTAAAACATTACAGAACTCTGAAGGTTAGTATAGAAGAATGCAATCGGATTTTGAATGAGATGCAACTTTTTGAAATGTCGAACGGATTATATGTAATTGCATGTAGTATTTTTTTTTTTTTTTTTTCGAGAGTAAACTTCTCAAGAAGAGGGGCTCGGAACTGTTTGATGGGCTGTTGAGTCTTTTGAAGTGCTAAAGCTATGACTACATTGATCTGAAGCCAAACCATGAGGCCACTTTCGGTCCCATGATCCTTCATCCATTTCGCGGTCCAACCCAATCCAACCACTATATGCCTTGTCTTGATGAATGATCACCCGGGCAATTGATTTTGAGCTGCTTCTCTGCATCTGTAGGTTAAGAATGCATTGAGGTGTGGATTGTAGTAATAATAGGTAGCATACTACAAAAGCAAAGAGTCTAGCAAGTACCTTGAGAAGCATTGGTGACTGGTCATGTTTTGTAATCTTAGATGATATGGCATGTTCAAATTTCTTAGGAGTTGCAGGGCCCTGCAAGCATATAAAAGATATATTGTCACCAAAATGATTCAAGTGATGCAACTCATTGTATTGCTGAAATTGGAAAAGAATTTGAGAAACTGAGTAATATGAACCAAGTTCTACATTAGACTATCAAATGTAACAAAGAAATTTTGTGCATTCAATGCAACTAGCAATTGATTTGTTACTTAATAAAAAAGCATGTTTTGTTACTTATTAAAAGAAAAGCACACCATAAACAAACAAAATACTGCATATCAAAAGGACAAATTTAAATAATTGGAGCAAAGATTGAAACTTGCTTGGAATTGAGAGGACTTATTGCTTGAATGTAGGGATTCAGAAATTTGAGCCCACCCGGAACAAGCACATGCTTGGGCTCGCAACGCCTGCATGTGCCGTACCGTATCAACTGTTTGCTTCCTCACAACAATGTGACCTCTAACCAGTGCCTGTAGCTTCACTAGTACTTTTAATGCTCGCAATGCTCTCCTCGCCTTCAAATTACCCACACAAGGGAGTCATCAAACCAACTTCGCGATATCCACTTGATTAAAATCAGATGGCAAAGAAAACAAGAAACTACCTTCACTGTAACAAGGAAAAAAAATCATTCACTGACCAATCTTAGAACTTTTACTAACAGACTCATAAATGACACCTTAAAAATAATACTACCAAATTATTCATTCTTAAAAATGATATTTTGTGTTACAATTAAGGATTTAATAATTGTGTCCAACAAAAAAAATAAAAAAAAATTGTTTTTTTTTTTCTAAGTACATAACAGCTCAAGATAGAATGGTGAGGTTGAGAATAGCAAATGATCTCCCAAAAAGTGACCCAAACAAAGAACTGACAACCCAAAAGTATGTATGAAGATTTCAACCTTCCTAAAGCTGAGAACAGACTATCACAACCACAACGTCCAAATATAGACTTCGAGGTCCACACGGTTCACTGCACACCACTTCCAAGTCGATGCACACCCCTTCCAAGTCACTTCTCAACTTTCTTCATTTTTTATTTTTTATATATCGATTCATAAGTACAATTTGTATGTATAGATTGTGCCTGAGATTTCAATTCAAATTACAATGGCAAACGAAGAACTGGAGAGAAGAGGAGGCACAAAGAGCAGAGGCAACACATACGCACCCACCACCGAGTCCATGTGGACTTCATGGTTGGTCCCGATGATTGTGGGGGCCAATGTGCAGGGATGGACCATAGTGTAGACTATAGGGGGCTGTGGCCCCCCTGTGTTTGAGACTATCCTGTTACTTACAATGGTTTAGAATAGAGCACTGAAATTTTTTTTGTTTGCATGGCCCCCTTCCCATTTCTTGTCTTCAAGAGCAAATGTTTAACCAATGTGACACGAGTTTGAAGGAAATTGAAATTGAATATAATATATTTAGAGCAATACTATAAATATAATTTACTTTAACAATTGAATCTATTTTGTGCAATATTTGAAGTGTGTTGTTTGATTCTTATTAACTAGTTAAAGGCATCCACAATGGATGTGTTAAAATTGTGTGTTAAAGTGTGTTATATGATAAAAAGTGTTAAAAGTGGGATCCAAAAATATGTGTTAAGAGTTTGTTAATTTAGTGAGGGAATAGTGAATGAATGGTAGTACAATGGATGTGTTAAGGGGTGTGTTAAGGTGTGTGTTAAATATATATATATATATATATATGTGTGTATATAATAAATAAAATAAATAAATAATTTAGTTTAATAAAAAATTTCAGGCCCAAAATTAAATTTCATGTCAAAAAAAAAATCCCAGCAAGTAAAAATTTTTTTTACCGTTGACCGGTCAACCGGTAAGCCCAAAAAATGCTCCCATTCGCTAGCTAAAACGCTAGTTGCAGATAGCAAACATATTAACACACACCATTAACACACACACACTAACAACCCTATTGCAGCTCCAAACAATACCCTTTGGTAACCAAAACTTGGCACCTGACACTAACACACACGTTAGTGTGTCCATTGTGGATAAGGGACATGGTTTTATGAATAATTTATTTTTTGTTATTGTTGTTTATAACTTTCTTTTTTAGATTGTGAAACTACGAATGAGTTTTTTTGGTTTATAAACAAATTATAATCAACCCAAAAAATAGATTCTAGTTTTCTACAAAAAAAAAAAAGTTAAAAAAAAGTAAGTTCAATTGCACAACTCAATCTTTTGTAATTAACACATGTTTAACATAAGCTAAATTTATTGAATTTGAATAGCACTTGACCTAAATACCTTAGGTTGGCAAGTCGAGTTTGGACAAGCATGGGCAATTTCAAGCATTACTGGAGTTGGATCGGGACAAGTTTTGAACCCAATCCAACCCACTTGGCTTGCACCCTACCTATAGCCCCTCTGGTATTAGAATCCTAGTTTCGTCCCTGTTACCGCATGAATTTGCATTATAGCATAGAAAATAAATTGTATTATGAAACATAGAAATAACTGTTGGAAAAAATGATTTTTGGGGACTTTAATTTAATATTAAAGTGTGGTGACTTTAATTAAATATTAAAGTGGGTCCTAACCATTTTTTGTGTTGGGTCCAAGTGAGCCAAAAACCATTGGGCTTTGAATAAGAAATTGCCAAAAAATTGCTTCATGATGTTAGATTCATGAATAGGATTTTAAAGAGTATTTAAATCTTTTTTCTTGGCTAAAGGGTGTCAAGTCTCAAGTCCCATCAAATGGGGTGGCTGCATGAATCTTTTTTCTCCACTCGATTCTATTCAAGGCCATTTCGTTAGTCAAATTAAAATGATTCGTATCTCTATTGGTGGGTGTGGATAAGAAATAGAAGTAAGTCCTGTTCTTGTACTTTCTCTAGCCTTGCACAGAAATATGCCAGTGATCTAGGCAAAGTGAAAGTGACAACATTATTTGAAGGTAAATTACACTGTTGGTTCATATAGTTTTAGCGAGATTTTGCTTTGATCCTCGTAGTTCCGATTTCATCAATTTAACCCCCGAATTTTCAATTGCGTTTCAATATGGTCCTTCCATTAGTTGCCATTTGCATTTTGGAGCCAAAAAGACGTGGGAACTAAAGACTAAAGTGGAATTAAAAAAAATATATAACTAGGGACCACCATTATAATTTATCTATTTTTCTTTTTGGGCGGGTATTGCTAAAATGCTTGTGTGAGTCATATGAGGCATTTTTCAGTCCAAAAAGCTAATGACAATTGAGGGAGGGACCACATCGAAACGTAATTGGAAATGTGAGGTTTAAATTGATGAAATTGAAATTATAGGGAGGGACTGAAGTAAAACCTCTCTCAAATTAAACGGACAAATGGTGTAATTACCCTTATTTTTAATTACATTAGAGCTTTTAATGCTAGTATCTCAAGAGTTGTATAAATGTATAGTTATTTGTACTTGTGAGAATAATTTTGTGATTGTCAGCTTGGTCTATGGAAAATTAGGAGTCAGAAATGATGAAATTATGTTATTGAAAGTACATAATTCAAAATTATTGTTAATTAATTTGGTTATTTTAGGTTTACTAGCGTTTAAATTGGGAAAACTTAGGTTGTATTGGCCTCGCTTTGATCACAGTCCAACCACTAGATTAGTCATATCTTTGAATGAATTGTGATTCTAATGGAAAAGGTTATATCTGGGTATCTGGTATTTTGTCTGTCCAGAAGGTATTGTGTTCATTTGGTCTTCATATTGGTCCTGCTAAAGGTAGTCTCCAATCTAAGATACTTCTCCAATCTAAGATACTTCTCCAATCTAAGATACTTCTCCAATCTAAGATACTTCTCCAATCTAAGATACTTCTCCAATCTAAGATACTTCTCCAATCTAAGATACTTCTCCAATCTAAGATACTTCTCCAATCTAAGATACTTCTCCAATCTAAGATACTTCTCCAATCTAAGATACTTCTCCAATCTAAGATACTTCTCCAATCTAAGATACTTCTCCAATCTAAGATACTTCTCCAATCTAAGATACTTCTCCAATCTAAGATACTTCTCCAATCTAAGATACTTCTCCAATCTAAGATACTTCTCCAATCTAAGATACTTCTCCAATCTAAGATACTTCTCCAATCTAAGATACTTCTCCAATCTAAGATACTTCTCCAATCTAAGATACTTCTCCAATCTAAGATACTTCTCCAATCTAAGATACTTCTCCAATCTAAGATACTTCTCCAATCTAAGATACTTCTCCAATCTAAGATACTTCTCCAATCTAAGATACTTCTCCAATCTAAGATACTTCTCCAATCTAAGATACTTCTCCAATCTAAGATACTTCTCCAATCTAAGATACTTCTCCAATCTAAGATACTTCTCCAATCTAAGATACTTCTCCAATCTAAGATACTTCTCCAATCTAAGATACTTCTCCAATCTAAGATACTTCTCCAATCTAAGATACTTCTCCAATCTAAGATACTTCTCCAATCTAAGATACTTCTCCAATCTAAGATACTTCTCCAATCTAAGATACTTCTCCAATCTAAGATACTTCTCCAATCTAAGATACTTCTCCAATCTAAGATACTTCTCCAATCTAAGATACTTCTCCAATCTAAGATACTTCTCCAATCTAAGATACTTCTCCAATCTAAGATACTTCTCCAATCTAAGATACTTCTCCAATCTAAGATACTTCTCCAATCTAAGATACTTCTCCAATCTAAGATACTTCTCCAATCTAAGATACTTCTCCAATCTAAGATACTTCTCCAATCTAAGATACTTCTCCAATCTAAGATACTTCTCCAATCTAAGATACTTCTCCAATCTAAGATACTTCTCCAATCTAAGATACTTCTCCAATCTAAGATACTTCTCCAATCTAAGATACTTCTCCAATCTAAGATACTTCTCCAATCTAAGATACTTCTCCAATCTAAGATACTTCTCCAATCTAAGATACTTCTCCAATCTAAGATACTTCTCCAATCTAAGATACTTCTCCAATCTAAGATACTTCTCCAATCTAAGCTGAT